CCCCACAACCACCCAATAATTTTATTATTATTATTATTATTATTATTTTTTTTTTTACTTTGGGGAGTAGCCCCCTACATGCACACCCCCCCCACCCCCTCAGCTGTCAGCACCCCCATCGGGACGCCTCCAAAAATGGCTCATACGGCCGTACGTACGGCCCGTACGACCGCCTGGGGGCCCGTATGTACGACCGTGTGGGCGTACGACCGCCCCGTATTTGTACGGGGAGATACACAGCATGAGGATTGAAGGTTCGCTCTGTTTATCGATAATTCATGGGTGCGTCATTAAGCCACTAGGACATGGTCGCTCAGTGTTTTGACCTTTCTTTTTCTTTTGGGGTTTTTTTCGTATGCGTTATTGAATCATTGAATGTATTTTCTTATTCTGTTGTAATACTATTTGTTTTTTTACTTACTCCCGTGTCATTACATGAGAAGGAGAGAGAGAGAGAGAGAGAGAGAGAGAGAGAGAGAGAGAGAGAGAGAGAGAGAGAGAGAGAGAGAGAGAGAGAGAGAGAGAGAGGGACAAATTATAATAAAAAAAAACAATTGTTTTGGGCGAAAGAGGAAGATAGAGCCCGCCCACGTGCATCCCAGAGAGAGAGAGAGAGAGAGAGAATTCTTTACTCTAGTCTCTACTCTAATTTATTGTATTTTTGTACATACTTCTGTAATCTCTACTCACTACATACTGCTCTGTACTCACAACTGTACTCTACTCTACACTATTGTACGCAACTTTATTATAGTCAACCCTATTATGCAAAACTCTGGTGTAGTATGTAATGATGTTTTTTTTTTTAATCCTACATTATCTAACTTACAATTATTTTTACTGGTGCTCTTCCTGTGTTGCAGGTATATGAATAGAGCAAGATTCAATGCCCTTCTGCTCATCATCTGTCAAATAGACCATGAGAAGAAATCGACAACCAACGTTGAAAGGATCTCCTTGAGGAAAGAGCGATTCAAGAGAAGGCCGTTGGCTTGTTAGAAGTGAAATTCATTCAATTCTTGAGTGATCTTCTAATCACATTTTGCAATCTTTGTTCCAGTGGATGAATCAGTAAGAGAGAAAGAGGTAGAGACAGTAAATAGGTTGAATTGATTCAAGAATTCATTTCGGGAGGGATGTTGTGTGTGTGTTTGAGAGAGAGAGGGAAAGAGAGAGAGGTGGTAGAGGTAGAGTGGGGCAGCATGTTTGAAATGATGCACTACGTTGTTGTTTGGATTACTAGTTGTAGGCAAGAAATTCAAGTTATAGATAGATAAATAAACTGATACAAGAATTCTTTTGGGGAGGGAGGTTGTATGTGTATGAGAGAGAGATGTAGAGTCTGAGAGAGAGAAAATGGAATCCTCTTATTTTTTCTAGAGGGTCTAAGGCCCCATACAGTTGGACGCGTGTGTTGGTTACATAATGTTTCAGACGTGCTCGAAATCTGAGGCCCAGACTCTCGGGCAAATAGTCCAGAAATTGGTGAGTGCTGGCGAGCAGCGAGCAACTATACGAGAAGGATAACTACCATAGTCGGACAATTCCTACACTGCAGGCAGAGAGGTGGTGGTTCCTTGGGAGTAAGGTGTTGTGGTGAGAGAGAGAGAGAGAGAGAGAGAGAGAGAGAGAGAGAGAGAGAGAGAGAGAGAGAGAGAGAGAGAGAGAGAGAGAGAGAGGAAGAGGACTCACTTGGAGTGTTGATGCGAGGTCTGCATATGGGTGGAGTTCATCACGTACCTCGGCTTCAGTGGTGATCTGTCTGGATCTGCGTCACAAATAGATAGGCTAGTTAGGAGCTAGGCTAGGAGGAGTTTGGGCGTTGAGTGCCAGTAGGACATGCGACTTTGAAACTTTGGTAATGGTTGGCCAGATGGGCTATATTGTCAATTATGTTCTTTGTTGGTCTTTCTGCAGGTAATTTCAAGAGCATTTTTGCTTTTTCTGTTTCAGTGCGAGACTTCTGCTGTTTCAGAGTGTGATGCAATTTGAAATTCTGTAGCTCGATTTTTCAACCATTTTTCTTGCAGGTTTTAAACATCCAAGTATGTTGTTATACAATTTTGTTTTGTCTGCTTCCCCGTTATATATATTTTAACCTTTTTTTTTAACAATTTTTCTCGTCTGCTTTATCCTTACTTTTTTTTAATATCAAAACAAGCTTCAAACGTGGACTGATATTAGTAGACTGTATTGTTATGCAACACTGGTCTAAGTAATTGAATATAGATCAGGTTCCTTTTTGAATTCCGTTCTCAGTATTGGCTTTAAAAAACTTTTATTCACCCGTTTTTTCTATGGCAACCGGTCGGACGTCTGGACTGGAATGCAGACGGTCCGGTTGTCTGGGTGTGGGTCTTGCATCCGATCCGGTAGGTCTGGATCGGGCCCATAGGACGTTTTCCGGGTCCTAGGCTGCCCCCAAAAAATGCCCCCAGTAATTTTTGGCCGTTTCAGGGCCTCCCAGACGCCGCCAGATGCCTCCAACAGCTCCCTTTGCTGTTGTACTACGGTGGTAGTTCATCAGATGAGGATGAGTCCGGTTTCGAAAACGAAGCGCTGGCTGCAATGCACCACAGAACATCAAGCTAGAAAGAGAGAGAGAGAAGAGAGAGAGAGAGAGAGAGAGAGAGAGAGAGAGAGAGAGAGAGAGAGAGAGAGAGAGAGAGAGAGAGAGAG